TGCTTGAACATGAATAGATACACTGCCATTTGCTTTGTCTTCCTAGTACCATAGGCCTAGTTCCACACCTCACCAAACCAGGAGATGATATCGAACCTTCAGCAAAAAAACATGGGCAGATGTGGCGCCATATTCTTTGTCTTCTGTGCACTGCGGGGTCCCGCCTGATTGCTCACCAGATGAGGGGAATGAAAACTGTTGCTTCAACCAGAACATCAACATCAAAAGATACATCACCGCATATATAAATGTATATATTTATTTTATTATTATTATTATTATTATTTTTTTTTTTTATCTGATAATCGTGATGGTTGAATCTTCAGCGAGAACATTGAAGGATAAATACTCATAATGTGTCTGCTCAGCACTGCGCGTTGTTAGAGTTCGAGCATCCCCCCCCTGCTACATCCAGTGMTGGCGGCGAACTGGCTAGCTCAGGTATGAACRAACCTGGTAGCATTTGCGGCCAGGCTAATTAATTTCATAATCAAGAAACACAACCCTCTTTGTCTCTCTCTGACTATCTTACCTCCCTCTCTTCTCTTTCTTCCAACAGATTGCACATGGACATTAACTCTAGTTCAGACAACGTCACCAAGGGGTCCCAGCAGGCAGCCATTGCCTTGATCATTCTTGCTGTTGACGTCACATACGAGGGCTGACATTACTTAAGACGATCACACAAGCTACAACAACGCTCGCCTCGGTCACTCGCTCCAGCTGTGCAGTCCCCTTCTCTCTCACTCTCCCTCTCACACGCAGTCTCTCGCTCCCGCTGTGCAGTCCCCTTCTCTCTCACTCTCCCTCTCACACGCAGTCTCTCACTCCCGCTGCGCAGTCCCCTTCTCTCTCACTCTCCCTCTCACACGCAAGTAACCGCCTGAGCGCCGACGCGTCTCCGCCTCGAGCTCGTCTCCCACTCTGCAACTGCTTGACGCCGGGCACACCTGGCATGCAATCCCCTCACAATGCCTGCTCCTTCTCCTATATCCCCCTCCGTCCAACTCTCCGCCTTGTATTCACGCAGGGCGCTCAAAGAGGGCCATAGTTCGTTGTTGTTTCAAAACCGCTCGGGGCTGGCCCCCGGTCAATTGCAGCGCCGATCACCCCCGACCGCGCCTGCCTAATGTCCATTCCCAGTTCAGTAGACTGGCGTAGTGGTCCCAAAGCTGAAATAAAGCGCCATAGTGGCACCAAACCTGGAATAAATGGTCGCAGTGACGGTGCCGAGCCTGGGTTAAATACCCGAGATAACGCTGAACCTGGAATAAACTACCGCCAACGTCTCAAATCTGAAATGAACTACCGCAGTCGTCCTAGACCTGAAAATAAATCACCGCAGAGGTTCCAAACCTGAAATAAATCGTCATAGTGGTCCCGGACCTGAAAATAAATCACCGCAGAGGTCCCGAACATGAAATAAATCGTCGTGAGGGCGTCGAACCTGAAACAAAACACCACGATGCCACCGAACCTGACCAGACCCAAAATCCAAAACCGAGCTGTTGTGCCACGAGGATGCCGAACCCGTACAACCATGCCATGATAATTCCGTAACTGTCCCGAACCTAATATACAATGCTGCAACGTTTCCAAACCTGAAAACAAACTGCCGCCAAAGTTCCAAACCTGGAATAACTGTCGTAGTAGCCCCGGTCCTGAGAATAAATCACCGTAGCTGTCCCAAACCTGAAAATAAGTCACCGTAGTGAAACAACTGTCACCGGGCCCATACCGCACCTGAAGCACGTCAGACACCGTAGGACGTAGCCACTCCGTAACAACCTCGTATCCGTACTGAACCAAACACCATAGTCGACCCAAGGTAGCACCACCCCATGCTTTCCACGCGACTCCCGCTCTCAGAACATCCCAACTGCGGAAATGTTAGTAATCAAGCAAACCAGGAAAGAGACGCAGGGAACCTCGACCATCGGCAGTAGTGAAAATTGTTAAAATCCGGGGAAAATGTTCAATCCGGGGTCAGAGCTAATGGCGGGTAATCGAGGCGAAATTAGGCCAATCTCCCAATAATCATGGGTTCCCGTCCCTTTCATCATTTTTCATCATTCTTTCCTTTCCTTAATTCTATCGTTGAAAATATTAAATTAACCGTAAGATCCCCAAAATTAAATTCCGAGAAAGTTTAAATAATTGGTCGAATTCCTTTTGTTTTTTTTCTCTCTTACCATTTTTAATCGTTTTCTATGTTTTTAATTTCATTGTCAGGAATATAAAATAACAAGGGTATTCCCCCTAGAATTAAATGCCGTGAAAAATAAAGAAATTAAGGGATATCGACTCCCCTTAACCTTTTTCTCTCTTCTTCTGACTCCTCAATTGTAAAAGAGCCAGGGCTGGGTCGATTCCTAATACTCCTTGGTCCTGTGTTCTGACACGTGACAACCTCATAGTTGCCATACACGGGATTACACATGACTAGGAACATAGTCCCGTCATGCTTATTCAGGATGACGGTCTCTGTTCTGCTAAAAAATGATCGCCCCAGAAGAATAGGGTGATCGAGGTCGGGCATTACGAAGAAGCAACTCCTCACTTTTACCTTCCCGATCTCCAGCACCACCTTGGATGCGGTCCCTACAAAAATGGACCGACTATTTGCTCCTACTAAAATACCATTGTCAGAGCGGCCTATCTCCATCCCCAGGCGCAGGGCATCCTCCTCCTTGACGAGGTTCATTTCTGCGCCTGTGTCCACCATTGCCGTGCATGCTTTCCCCTTTACAATAACATCAAAACACCCGCACGCCACGGACTTCCAATCCATTTTCGTACTGGTCTCCGACCACTCAGCTTCCTTAGGGATTATGGTCCCTAACCGTACGCTAGCCACCATCTTCCTGCACAAACGTGCCTTGAGCTCTTCTCGCAGTCTCCGCGCTGATGCCAAGACATCTTTCAAGTTCATGAGGTGGTTATGTCCTTCAAGGATTCGGTCCATAATCTCTTCCACGTCGAATCCTTCATCCACCCTAACTGTGTACTTCTTCTTTTTCTGCTCTGGGGCCTTTTCCGTATCGGCCTTAACACCCCTCTTCTTGGCTCTTTGCTCCGCCTTTTCATCCTCCTCGTTCCTTAGGCGGTCATCCTCCTCCTCCTCATTCACGAGAGGTTCTTCAACTTCCTTCTCCCCGCTCGACCCGGAAATATCCTTAGCCGGCGGTTCCGGACTCGCTGACCCTCGAGCTCTCGTCCTGATTGTCTGAGCGGCCCTCCCAGATCGTGAAGGCGGCCTAAAGCTCATCCCTGATCTGGGAGTCCTCCCTGTGACCGATACGTTCGGAATGCTCGCAGGCGCCCCCTGCGATTTTGGGCCTGACCCATACATGAAGACTTGTGGCCTCTGCCCTTGCCACTCCTTAACCTCTTCGCATAAATCTACCAGTTTTCCTGATACCTTCGAATTTTATCCATTAAGTCGTCCATATTCTCCATCGTCTGTCGGGCCGTTCTCCAATAGTCTTCCCCTGTCTCAACGTGCAACGGCCTGTTCCAGTAATCCTCTTCAATCTCACCGTCCGACTCTACTATGATGGGCTCAGCCTTAGTAGTGCCGACTTTCCGCTCTTGCTCCACCTCTTCGTTCTCTCCCACCTTTTCAACTCTGTTGTCACTACGGACCCCTTTCTCCTGCCATATCCGAAACATGGCTGGAGGAGCGGGTGGTTCACCTGCCTCGGCTCGTCGTAGGGCCTCCTTCCTTGTCCCGCCTGGGGTCCTTGGATCAAGGTGGTACCCCCACTTGTCGTACACATCCCCATCATAGTTGGTGATGATTAGGCCTTCGTCTTCATCGTTTCTCCGGACATGGCATAACTTGATAGTGTGACCTTTCTGCCTGCAGTGCCAACAAATGGCGTTCCTCCAATCTATTCTCCCCCTGCCAGTACCTCTTCCACCTTCCTGGCCACCTTGACTCCCGGATGTTGTCCAACCCTCGCTTCCCCCGCCTGCAGCGTTACCACCACCATTCCCTCTACCGTTTCCTCCCCGACCACCATTCCCTCGTCCCCGGCCCCACCCTTGATTATGTCCTCGTCCACCGCCTTGATTGCCTTGCGACCCTTGTGGGGCTGACTGCTGGGGTTGGGTTGGCGGTGGTTCTGGGGGACTTACTTGCTGAGCTTGGGGCCCCGGGCAGCCGCAGGAAGCCATGCTCATCGGTGGTCCGGCACACGACCCATGCGGCCCACTCTGTGGCCATGGGGCGTATGAGCAATGTCCATGCTTGTGGCTTGAAGGTCCACAACCTGGCCACGGCCCATAGTGTGCTGGTGCGGCTTAACTAGGTGACTCAGGGGACGGCATGGCTACAGCTTGTGGGACCTGGCCCCTCCCTGAGCCTTGCCCTCCTTGAGCCAAATTCCTTGCTTTCCTTTGAGCCTTTGTCAGCTTCTGCGGCTCAGGCTCCTCTTCTTCTTCCTCTTCTTCTTCTTCCTGCACTACTGCCTTTTTCGCTTTCCCTACGGTCTGTGGCGCTGCCATAGTTTTTCTTCTTGCCTCCTTCGCTGCATCGAGTTGGGCCACCGCATCCTCCACCACTTTCTTGAAGTCGCGCCCATCACTCGTCGTAGCGTCTAAGACCTTCCTTTTCTTCCTAGCCTGCCTCATCTGGAAGATGTCTACCTGGTCCAGTTCTCCGTCCGTTACGCCTTTCTTTATGGCAGCCCAAGTGAGCTTCTTTCCTGGCGCAGCCTTCTTAGTTAGCGACGAGCCCTCCCAGTTCTTGAAGTGCCCTAGGAAAGTGGCACACTGCTCCTCTTCTGCCAACCCTGAGACTTTCTTTGCCATTTTCTCAAACGCCGTGGCGAAGGCCCCCACTGTGGAGAACTCATCACGTCTCAACATTTCCAGGTCTTCTTTGGTGAGCAGACCGTCACCTAACTTGAAACGTCTCTGCATCTCCTCTTTAAACTTTGCCCACTCACCATTTGCGCCGGCCGCTACCTTCATTACCTCAGGTCTAAGCTCCCACCATACATACYTAGGCATCAACTTGAATTTGTCTGCWTCTGACGCCTCGCTAGTGACCTGCTCCAGCAACTCAAGCCACTCAGACACTCTATCCCCGTTGAAGTGAAAAATGTTAACCTTGGGCACCTGAAGCCGTGCCATCTCTCTTTTTTCCAATGCCTGGACGAAGTCCTCAGGTGTAGCACCCAGGCCCCGCTCGATTCCGTCGGCGTTCGCCATCTTTACGTTTTCTCAAACACCTGTTGAGGGACGAAAGGTTTTAACAAAACAATCGACCGTCAAGTCTCTAACTTGCCTACTTTCACCATTCAACTACTATCTTTATTAACTAAAGTAACCTATCAGGTCTATATTATTACTCTGGCCCTACCGCTGAAACGGATACACACAATGCACACTTCCGACCTTACTCACAATCAAGGCAGACAGATCTGACGTGTCATTGAGAAAGCTACCATACTCGAGTCATCGTCAAGGAGAAAAATCTTTTCATCAAAGGTTGTCGTTTTGCCTGGATCATCAGCCTGCACTTAACCTGAGCTCGTTCTCTTAAGGACCCCGATAGGCAGCCGAGATCCCCGGCAACGGCGCCACCTGTCGAGCGCATCAGTCTCGCACGGGGACCCTCCTGGCCGCGTCACGCAGGATTATGCAGGACTTATTGCGAGAGCGTTTGCCGCTCCGGCCGAGTGCGCCAGCCGTACCTCTCGCGAGTCCCTACGACAGGACAGAGTCACGCGAGGCACCGCTACCTCCACCCGCGGGAGCTGTCACCATCCCTTAGGTGGGCGTATCCCTGCCGAGCTACTGAACCACATGCGAAGGCTTTTATAATGCGATTGCAGAGGTGGCCCAGCCGAGGGCGTTTCTCGTTCGCTGTAGCATAGAGTACGCGCGGTCAACGCTCGAAATCGGACCCGTACGCAAATCGACGATACTGGGGGGCAGAGGTCCCAAGCTCGACTTTACGTCGGTCGACTAGGCGCTCTACGCACACCACGCGATACACCATTTAGAGCAAAATTTAAGTAACCCACGTTCACACACTCATGCACCAAAGCAAAAGAAAAACACAACACTCCCAGTCCCCTTAGTACTGGACCCATAACCTTTTGGTACAAAGATTAGGTAGGCGTCGCATGCTGATTTAGTGTAAAGAATCGCGCGATCGCACGGATTTCTCATACCAGCCAGTCATGCGTGCGCTTACAAGTGTTTGCAATAATGGGGTATTATGTGGTACCCAGGTCCAGGAGGCCCTCAGGGATTTTGAGGGTCCCTTTCGACACTCAAGTGTCGGTTGACAAGCGCTTCAAGGGTTAATCTCTCTGCGCTAGACAACCGCCATGCGCGGTTGAGGACCACACACCCTCTTCTGCACCCTGTGCAGAGTGGGTGGTACACAGGTTTCACGCTTGTGGTGGCAGAAGTCAAGGGGTTTGACTTTGACGTCTGCCACGGACTGCAACGTCCAACCATAAGAAAATAAAAAGAGGACAAGGCTCGATATAAAGCCGTCGACCTAGTCTAACCCATATTGAGCCCCTATGCCTCCCCGATAGCTTTCTCGATGCGATGTGGTGAGTTGCTATGGAGCTGCGTGTTCCTAAGGTTAGACTCAAGCCCTTGAGCGAGCCGACGCTCAATGCGTCGTATGCTCGGGCGCGAGGGCCTTCCTCGCATCTCCGCAACGCCGACCGTATCGCGATTCTACTTTCAGTGCCAGATCCATAAAGTGTTCGGTGTGAGAATCCGTTTGGCACCGCGTGCCGGATGCGATACAATCCGTGCGGGTCCTCGGCCTTCCCATACCGACCAACAATGTTGTCTCACTCAAGCGATCGCTGAAATATCCTCGCGATAGTGAATGGCTGAAGGAATATATTGTGGGGGTTCGCCCCTCGCAATATTGAACGGCTTGAAGGACACGCCGTTCAGCCCTTGCGGCACCCCTACCCTTGAAGCCAGGCGGTCCGGTGGGCAGGGTTTTTATGCCCTGTGTGCAGGCAAAAATCCCTTGCTAGAGGGTTCGACTTTGGGTTCTTCCCGACAAGGATCTCGAACCCCTGGCCCAAGAATACGTCCGACTTTTCAACTTAACAAGTAAGTGGGGCCAACGTGAAAATGGGGAGAAAGGTTATGCCTTTTCCCTATTTCGCCTTGGCCCATGACTCACCTCGCACCACCTATACGAATCGTTTATGGGGTGGCGTATGGATAGTGTTCAGGTCAAGCCCTGTAGGCAGCCCAACGCTCAGAACATTTTCCTCGCTCGAGCGCGGGGTTCCCATAGGGCGGACTGACCTTATGACCTTTTTTACACGTCGTTTTCGTGATATTTTGGCTCACGCCTGGACCCTTATCGTCCCACCAATTGAAATCACACAAGAATATAGAAGGCATAAGTATGTGCTCGTGCAGCCGTGTGAGGGCTACGCGAGGGACATACTCAAATGCCATAACACTTAGTCAGACGAAGAGTTAAGTGATGATACAGTCTCACAATAGTTATGTAGCTTGCCCGCCCACATGCCCTCTTAATGAGGCCATGAGCCAACGCTGATCCCAACCCCCAGCAGAGTCAGTCCTATCTCATCCCAAGCTTCCCTCCCATCATTCATCCTACCTACCTATGGCTCCAGCACTCGGCGAGCATCTACAACAACTACTCTATCAAAAAATGTCCCAAGTGAGAGCCCACGAGCATGCAAGCGCAAACATCTCTCACAATCCCACATGGTTCTTTTCCAGGCCACACAGTTCGTTCAGAAGCCCTCATTATTCCCCTTTTACCCTTCCTTACATAAGACATAGGGTCAGCCAACCCAACTTATGGATGTGACTAACCTGCCAGTTTATATGACTAGGCCACATCAACTTATGGTGCCGTAGCCTGGTAACATAAATATACGTATGCATAAGACCAAACCACACCAACTTATGGTGTGACCAGTTTCTGCAAAACAACCGACATAAGGCGTGTGATCGGGCTGCACCAACTTATGGTGAGGCTGGTCAGCCTGAACATTCGGCATACACATAAAACTGAACCTCCCAACTTATGGGGGTCAGCCTCTGGCTAACCAACGACAAAGGGCATATGACTGGACACAACAACTTATGTTATGCCCGATTAGCCCAAACAGTTACATACGGCGTAGAGCAAGGCTACCCAACTTAATGATAGTCCAACCTAGCTTAGACAAAGCCACTTGCGCGAACGACCGAACAACCCGCAACTTATGCGTTCGCCCAGCTCTTCGCAATACAACCATGTTCAACTTTATGGACATAAGACCTAGAACTTACTACAACAACTTATGTTGTGATAAGCCTCTATCTGAACAAACGACATAAGGCGTATAACCAGGGCGCACCAACTCATGGTGAGACCTGATCAACCTAAACACTCGGCATGAACAAAAAACTGAACCACCTCAACTTATGAGGGACTCAGCCTTCGCCTGAACAACGACAAAAGGCATATGACCAGACACAACAACTTATGTTGTGCCTGACCAGCCCATAAAGTGACATATAGCATATGACTAGGCTACCCAACTTATGGATAGTCTAGCCCTGCCTAAAACAACAACAAGCGCGTATTACCGAACAACCCGCAACTTATGCGTTCGTCCGGCCTCCGCAACACAACTACATCAGATAAATAAGTTTCACAACCAATTTCTTCCTTCAGACGAG